TTGTTTTGAACTCTTCCTTGTTTGCTTGTAATGGTAAGAGAGAGGTAAGGGCGAGTTGCTGTTTTGTTAACAATGCAAGAATCTCATACTTGCAATTCGTGTACCGGTGGAAATAAGTTTTCTATAACTCGAAACGAAAATAACTATTTCTCAATTATTGCTAATCTTTGCGATTTTTAAAATTTATATTTTTATTTATTTCTGTTAAACGTTTCTCTCATCTTTGAACTATTTATAGTTTAAAATGACGGGAAGGGTGACTCAGAAGAAGGAATTATGTGACTCAAGAAATGTGCGCAGATAATCTTCTCCCCCTACGTCACATACAGTTTTTACTGTTTTTTTTGACTGAATAAATCTAAATGTAAATCTCAAGTATAAGCAGCCGAATACGTCGCGCAGCGCTGTCCTGAGTGCCGCTCACGTGTCGGGCCGAACCAGTCCGTCGAACGAACTACTTCAGTTTTCAACGATGGTGGAGCGGTGCGAATTGGTTTTGAGCGACTCGTAATTGGTCAGTCGTATTCGACGCCCTTAATGCTGATAAGCCATTTCTCTCAAAATCACGACACAAGTTTTTTCTGTCTCTCCAGAATCCTGGCGCCTATTCTGTTCTCTCCAACGCTCCCTCGCTTCCCTTCTCTCCCCTTTAGAAATCCTTCGCTCTGTCAAGTGTGAGATTACTTTAAATCTTTTTTTTGGTTATTTAAGTTCGCATCAACTATAGGTCATTAGCGACCATATTGCTTGTAACGGTATGTAATGTGGGTTGACACGATAATGATGAGTTAGGGGGTGAAAGGACGAAACAAAATAAACCATGGGCCATGCGGGACTCGAACCCGCGATCCTTCGGTCTGAGTTCGCTACGGCACTACTGCCTTAGCGATCTCGGCCACCTGTGGCTTTTAAAATCTCATTGGTCCTTTTCAACTCATTTCTCGAACTTGCCGACTTTTTCTTCGTGGGTTGAGCCGAGGAAATCCTCCTCTAGTGGACCTACTGAATTTAATTAGTCGGAACGTGGTAATCACGGACTGGGGGCGATCTCGGAGGTGGCGCAGAAATGCCTGCTGACAGCTGTCTTACTGATTATTTATGTAGATCCCAGACGATAATGGAGTGAGTGCTATCGAGGTCTTTAACGCGACTGTTCGCGTTGCTTCGTCCGACATCGGCTGGGGGAAAGAACGAGGCGGGGTGTTGTAAAGGCTTCCTCGCGTTAGAAGGGCGACCGCGTGCGATGGCGGTGCGGATGGTTTGTGCGCCTGCGAGATCCTTTGTGGGGCGTCGGTTGTAAAGGAGCGTGGCGCCGTCGTGGACACGTGTGTGTGACTAAATGGACAGAGACTAAATCGGGCGTCTGTCGAAGGGATTAATTGCGTGTGACAGGAGTGATAGTGATTTACGGTGTTGTGGGCGTCAACCACTAGGCGTCATTAGTCCCGTGAGTAGTAGTGTGTTAGGTGTGTGCACGGGATGCGCGGTTTTCTCGCTGTAGTAGAGTAGATCGGCGCCGACCTACCGTCGGGCTAGCGTTTTCCCCCAACAAGGTATCTCCCACCTGCCGGCCAAGCTCTAACCTCCCAACCGGTGTCCCAGTATGTGTGGTAGTGTAGTGTATGTTTTGTGTAAGTGTGTGTAAGGAGTCAGGATAGGACAAGGCAGAGTAGAAATGTCGCAAAAAATAAAAAAAAGTCTCGTGCCCGTGTGTTAGGGTACTGGTCCGGCTTTGCCTGGTGTTGATCGGAGAAAACACGGAAAACTACGGACCAGAGCAGCCGGGCTGCGTCATCCACGGCGCCCAGGCCCAGGCGCGGGCACGGGCGCGCGCGCGCGCTCGCGCCGGCTGGGGCTGGGGCTCCGTGTCGTGCCTGCCCTCCGCCTCGCACACCGTGCACTCCAGGTGAGCGCCTCCGTCCCGTCGCCGACGCCTCGGCGCCCCCTCTCTTCAAAAAATCGCCCCACCTTTACTAAGAAATAGAATTGTGCGTTGGAATTGTGCGTTAGAATTGGGCGTTGTAAGGGTACCGATGATCACGCGGTGACCAAAAACAGCGTTTTGTCGCCCGAGATCATTAGAACCAGTTAACGCCCGTGGTACATACAATTTTTTTCCTAATTTTAATGATTCAAATTTACTTATTCACTTAATAACTACATGTTTACTTGACTCAGTCTTTCTGTTTTCCCCTACCATTATTCCCTCCATAAGATAATATGTAGCATCAACAATTGTTTTTATATTTCCCCTCGACGCAGGTAAGTCATGCAATGTATATCAAAGTCCGTATCGATAGTAATAACAAGCAACAACGTACCAGTAATATATTAAATAATAATATTTTTAGACAGACACTAGTAAAAGCTGCTAATTTTAATCCATAAAAATCGTGCTAACAGTTCAGTTTATAGCACTAGTGCTAAAAGTGAGGTGACGTTTAAATGTCCTGATAAACCTTTGAATCCAACAAAGCAAACACAATACTTTCGTTTGACCGCATCAGTTACTACTGACCTTAGTGTAAGTGCATAATCAGGGGATATGTTTTCTTGGATTAAAATAAATTGAAAGTCAGTAAAGCTGTCTAAGGAATAGTGTATGACACACCTGGTAAAAGTAACTTTATTTTACTCATCGGATTCTGCCACTCTATCTATTGGTATCGTGTCAGAACATTTGTACTCACGAAATAAATCTTTGTACTCACGTTTCTTTAACCACTCGTTTCATAATTATCTATTTGTTAATTTTTAAATACAAGCTTAATAGTACAGAAAAATAATTGATTAAGAATGATTTTATAGAAACAAACATATTTTATGATTTTTGTTTTGAAATCTTTGATGAATTGTTTCTTCTCCCGATGAATGCATTCCCTTTAATCTGCTGCTGCATATTTTGCTTTTAGGTAAATCTGACCCTTTTCCTAGTTCGGCAGGAGTCATTTTTACGAAAAATACATTTTGCAAAGTTTAGCGTGAAACCATATGAGACAAGAACATGGTGTGAAGTATAACTGTACTTGTATCATTCTTCTTTCTGCTTGACAGTTTGGACTCGGTAGGGACAAGATTTCCGAGGTTTACTGCCTTTGTAACGTTCGCACAGCATATTCTTTTTGTGAATACCGGATTTTGGTCCTACACTGTCGACATTTTTCAGTACGATACCTACGAGGATACCTACCTAGGATACTTCTAATGATGTGATATTTTGCTATTGGACGTGATAAAAGCGTGGCTGAAGCGTTTAGCTTATGTGACACTTTATCGTCTTCCTTTATTCATTCCAAGTTGGTGGAAAGGGGGGAGATTACGTCATTGGAAATCCTGCTACCAAGGCGTGACAGTAGGAAATCACTGTCGGCGCCATCAAGTGACTCTTGAAAATTCAGAGTTCAACGAAAATGACATCTGCGCCATTTTTAACTGTCCTTTTCTCTATCCAAGAAGAAATTTTTTTTAAAAGAATTTGTAGTCGTTTTTGATAAGCATTTCTTTAAAAACATAATGCATGATCTTAAACTTTAAAGATCTAATTTTTTAGAACATATTTTATTAAGAAAACCTGTCATCAATGTTGAGTTTTTACAATGTTTCTTTTTATTCCAAGCAAACCTGCTTCTTCCATATCTTGTGAAATACTACTCCTACGCAAACAAAGACCGCTCCGGGGCGGTCACAGTGATTAATCCTGACCCGAAGACAACCCACATTTAACTTCATGTTATTTTTTCTTTTTCCAAGATATGAACCAAAAGTAATGTCACACATCGACAAAAATAGATAAAAGTACAAGTATATTTCGTGCTTTTTCCTATACCGGACAGTCTTACTTGATATTACACAATTCTTCCAACAGCTGCGATGGAAGTTTGTTTTCGTCAATTACTCGTACTTTCCTTTTATTAAAACATAAACATATCATTTTCTCTCGAAAAGCAGGAACTTCACTTCATGTCACAAACATAAGTGAGTTATGATAGTATGCTTGTGTTTCAAAGAATTGTTAGGTTTAGCAACCTTCATTTTCTACTCTGCTGTACTCTTTCTGCATCTTCCACCTGGATTATTGTTTATTGCTTGCGCAAATTACTTCAGGGTTCTCAGGCTCTGATATTATTGGCGAAAATAAAAAGAAAAATGCCCCGTAAAACATCACTTTTCAACGAAAAGTTCTCTTCTGCGATAGAACATTTATGAATTATATGATTCTACAATTATAAATATAAGTATCATGTCGAAACACTCGCAATATATTGTATCTATGTATTGCGGTTAAGATTGTGGGACTCTGTTATCTCATATAAAATGGAGACGTACCATTTATTATCAAGCGTCGCTATCCACCCACACATTAAATAATACTAGTAATTATTATTATTATTATTATTATTACTATTAAACCCTATCAATGTTTCGCCGAGGTTCTCTGATCCATCGAAGAAATGCTGAGATGGACCCTTGTTTTGCTTCTGGACAAAAACGTGGCTTCACAAAGCCGAAGCAAAAAGGTTTTCTATAATTCGGGATGAAAATATCAAGTTTTCAAATGTTGCTAACCTCTCTTTGTTGGTACATTTTATTCATTTTTCAACCAAGCAGAGTAAAATGCTGGGGAAGAGATTGTCAGGCTCAATAAAACGTACGCGGATTATACGCGCTCCCTGATAAGTCACCTACAGTTTTTAATGTTTTCTGGCGAATATAAATCAAACTGTTGTGTCATTGCATGTTGTACACCACCTATGTATCCATGAAATCTTGCTTTGTTTCTCTTGTTCCGACAACTTTATTCTCTACCTATTTTTAAAACATTTTGGCGATTTCAGACATTACTTGTTTCGTAATTGGAAAAAGATCTCTCCTGGAAAGTTTTGTATTTTAGGTTGCGACGTTTGCTAATTGAAAGAAAAAGGCTTTTTTAACCACTATACTGCATATTAGAATCGAGTGCGGAAAGTGACACCCTAATACACTGCGTTTACAGCCGACACTAAATTTTAATGAAGATGCTACGCTTATTTTCAAAAACACTCTCATTTCTTGGGCGCGAGCTCCCTTCGTTCTCCCCCCACCCTCTGCTGCTCACGAAGGCTCATCAGTTTCCCACGCCATCAACGACTCGCCCGATTTGCATGTATTTAAGAATTCGAGAGCTTTCCCTTTCTGCGAATATTTCCAGGCAGAAACTTCAATATCTTCCAAAAATGATGATCAGTTACTAACAAAAAATATCTCTTGTTATTAACTTCGAATTTTACTATTCAGAATCTTTTTTTCATACGACTGTTGTTAGTTCAGTCCTAGATCGAAAGGATCGAGATAGGCCTCTGTGATATTCAGAGGCCCCAAAGGTGCTCTTCACTTGTTATGTCCCCTGACGAGCGGTAGGTAAGCCAAGGAGCTCTAGAAAGTAACTCAACGGTCTTTTAGGTGCCAGTAGATAGCAACTGGGAAGAAGTGAAAGGAAAACCGAATAGCTCGTCGAGACTCAAAAGAATTGAAAAGTGAATTATACAAGAAAGTCTGTGACAGTCTGTAGCATCATCAGTTTCTTAATAAAATCTGTTCTTCTTAATTTGATTTTGACATAATGACATGTAAAATCTCTGAGTTTTCGAAAACTGCAAATGCAAATATTCATTTTTTTAAAGCGTCGAGAATGTTATTTTATCTGCGAGGCTGATGGTATAAGGCATGCTACATCTAAGAACATTACTTCAAATTCCAACGTGAAAATATAATTCGCTGGTGGAATACCCTTTTGCAAGTTCAAGTAATATTATAATATTGCCTGGTCGTTACAAATAATGGGAGAAAATATGTATTCTTGTAGCATCACTAGTTAAAGAAAGCAAACGTTATGCATATGAGGTAAGCACAGAATCACATACACGTTGTTGCTAAAACTTGAATATTGTCAAATTGAAGGGAAGTGTGACAAACCAGTAACGAAGGAAATTGCCATTAGTAAACTTAAATACTATGGGTAGGGCAACTTCGAAATTTCGAATTGCTGCTTCTAATTTCCTCGTTCTTTCTAGATCTAAAAAAGTTTTTCAGATTTCCATAGTTCCCAAACAACACTTCAATATCAGATTTTTTGAACATCCATGTTTATGGCCATGGAGTCTACGTAATTTTTCAAGAGCCTCGTTTGTTTCACATTAACACGTTGATTTACCTACCCAACTCCTCGCTTCGGGCGCTACCTTCAGGAACATCCCTTTCGCTCACCGGCGCACTTGCGAATTTCTCGCTTCCCCTAAACGCCGTATTTTTCTCGCGTCTTGTTTCAGTAAAGCGTGTCACGGGTCGTAAAGTTTGCGGTAGATTTACGAAGTAGACCGGAAGAGCTGGCGGCTCCCCGATGCCTCGCGAAACGCGGCGCGTCACCGTCGCCGAGCGCCGGAGCAGGGTGTTCCATACTGCTGCCACGTTGAGCGGATTCGCGAGTGTGGGTCACGTGCGCGACAGTCCCCTTGAAACACTAAGAATTAATAATTCTCCACCGGCTGTGCTAGTTCGAGGCAACAACTGTTGCCTTTGTAGTGTCTCTAATAGAGCCTAACATTCGAGTTCCGACTGTGGCGGATTTTCTAAAATGGATAGCTTTTAGCAGTCCCCTAGAAACATTAAGAATTAAGAATTCTCCACCGGCTGTGCTAGCTCGAGGCAACAACTGTTGCCTATGTAGTGTCTCTGATAGAGCCTAGCATTCGAGTTCCGACGGTGGCGGATTTTCGATACCCAAAGTAGTCTGCTAAGCTACGCCTTTGTAATAACGCTTGGTGACAAGACGCCTCTGTAATCTAGAGTTAATGTACCATGGTACCCAATTAGTGATATTTGCATTAAAATAAAACGAAAGTCAATAATGCTGACTAAAAAATATTGTAT